CGACGACGCTGAGAACGTCGACGATGGCTACGCATACGCCGACGCCGACGCCGACCGCGACGACGACGATTTCGCGACGCAGACACCGACGACGACACCGACGACGCCGACGACGCTGTACGACAACGACCAAGACGACGACGACGCAGACGCAGACGCTGACGGACGACGACCACGACGACGACGACGATGACCACGCCGACGACAACGACGACGCAGACGCCGACGCCGACGACGACACCGACGACGACGACGCCGACGGACGACGCCCACCGCGGCGACGACGACGATGACGACGCAGACGCAGACGCCGAGGCCGAGGCCGACGCAGTCGACGACGCAGACGCTGACGACGACGCTGACACCAACACCGACGCCGCCACAGACGCCGATTCACGGTGCCGACGGAGGACGACCACGACGATTGCGCCGACGATGCCGACGCCCACGCCCACGACGCAGACGCCGACAACGAGGCCGACGACGACGTCGACGGACGACGACGACGCCGACGACAGAGACAGACGACGACAACGACGACTACGGCGACGACAACGGCGACGGCGATGGCGACAGCGACGACGTCGACGACGACGACAGACGACGACCAAGACGACGGTGACGCCGACGACGGTCGACGCAAAAGCCGACGACGACGCCGACGGACCACGACTACGACGCCGACGACGACGCCGACGACGCTGACGACGCCGACGCCGAAGGACGCCGACCACGACGACGCCGACCCCGACGACGACGGACAACGACGATGCCAACGGACGATGACCACGACGACGTCGACGCCTACGCATACGCCGACTCCGACGCCGACGCTGACGCCGACGACGACGCCGACGACGACGACGACGCCGACCGACGCCGACGCCGACGCCACGCCTACGACGACGCCGACGACGATGACGACGACGACGATGAGGCCGCCGACTCTGCCCACGACGACGACGACGCCGACGGACCACGGCGACGACGCCGACGATGACCACGCCGACGCCGACCACGACGACCACGACCAAGACGACGACGACGCCGACGCCGACAACGACGACGACGACGAGGACGCCGACGACAACGACGACGACGACGAAGAAGACGGAGAGCGACGACGACGACGAAGAACACGAGGACGACGACGACGCCGAAGCCGAGGCCGACGCCCACGACGACAACGACGACGCAGCCGCCGACGCCGACGGTGGCGTCGACGACGGCGACGATGACGATGACGACGACGACGGCGACGACGACGACGACGACGACGACGACGGCGATGGACGAAGACCACGACGATGACGACGACGACGACGACGATGACGACGACGACGACGACGACGGCGAGAATGACGACGCCGACGCCGATGACGACGACGTTGACGACACCGACGCCCACGCCCACGACGACGACGCATGACCAGACGCTGACGCCTACGCCGACGCCGCCGACAACGCTGATGGACCACGACGACGATGACAGAGTTGAGGCCGACGCCGACGACGACGCCGAACGACAATGACCACGACGACGACGACCACGACGACGGACGACGCACGACGAACGACGACGACCACGACCACGACGACCGCGACGACGAGTCCGACGCTGACAACGACGACGACGTCGACGCCGACGACGACACCGACGCCGATGCCGACGCCGATGCAGACGCCGACGCCGACGAACGACGACCACGACGACGACGCCGACGACTACGACGACGATGACCACGATGACGACGACGACCAAGACGGCCATCTTGACGATGACGACGACAACGACGACGACGACGACGACGACAACGACGACGAAGCGATGACGACGACGCCGACGACGACAGAAAATGACGAGGACAGACGACGAGGACGACCACGACGACGAACCACCCACACCCACAAGAGGGATGGGCACCGGCATTCTCCACAACACCACGTCACTCCCACAGGGCCACGGCCACACCACAGGGTGGGACGGGGGGGGAGCGATCCCATTTGTGAGGCCTTCGCGAGGCGCACGGGCGTACCCATCCAGCTGGGGGAGGGGGGCGGAGGTCGATCTCATATTCATTCGAGGAATGGGGGGAGCAACCCTGGATCATAATATATGATGTCGCTTCCAAGTTTCGGGGCATCTATCCCGCACCTAGGGAGTAGGCCGATTTCGCTAAGGTGCCGTGGCGCAGCGGGAAGGGGATCGAGCATTTATGCTACCGACATCCGGGGGATCCGCAAAAATGGGACGGCCAGCGTTCAGGAAGGTTGGTTCGGACACTAGGGTCGTGAGAGAATATCTTCCACGCCGTGCGGATGCATCCCGTCCGAATGGGAGTCCTTAGATCTTCTTTGAGAATTTAGCGTGCCTGTCCAGCAGAGGCCCCCATTTAAGCTGTCCGGATCTGGCGTGAGAGCTTCGGGGCGCCGTCCAAGTTTTTGAGCCTCTTACAATTGTCTCGAAGTTTTGTCCCGCAGCTATATTTCGCGAGGGGAGGATGGGCCCAGAGTGCTCGCAGTTGACCGCCGAGCTGTCTTGCCTTGACCGACAATCAAGCGAGCGGCCTGAGATCTAGAACAGAACGCTGCCGCTTCGGTGCACGGGCCGCTGCGTTGTCGACTCTGCCGTGCACGGACTCTGATTGCAGCTCCTTGGGGGTCAATTCGGCATCGGTGGCGGCATTACCTTGGGTCTAGCCTGGCCGAGTCCATCGCAATTTGGCTTGATCCTGCCGATTCAGTCTGATTCGGCTTAATCATGGTCTCGATCTGGGCTGATCCGTCTCCGTCGCTTTTCAATACGGCCTAAGAGCCCTGAATCGTTCCCACGGTGACTTCCCAGGAGTTGCTTGTTAGCACTAGGATGGAACTTGCGAGTACAGTGGAGACGCTTGCATCAAAACTACTCTGGGCTCTGAGACGAATCGCCCTCTAAACGAATCGGGGCGCAGTTGCATACATTGTGTCTTACCCCCTACCACTCGGCCCAAACAGCCACTGCCAATTGAAGCAATTTGTCTCAGGCGCCATCTGGTTTCCTGCAGGTGTCACTCGGGAGGAAAAGGCGATGACGGTCCTGCGGCAGGGTTGCTTGTCGACTCTGCGGCACGAGTTGGACAACAATCAGGTGTGTGCGTTGTCTGCCTTTCGCCGTTTCCTCCCTCCTCTCAACAAAAAAACTACTCTTGGCTGTGGAGGAGCTCTGGTTTTCAAGCCATTCCTTGGATCCAAGTCGGGGGGCCTGTTCATGGCCAAGGCTCGCCGTGGGCAGAACAGCCCCTGGGTTCCTTAGTCGGCGCACGATGGCTAGATCCGTTTCACTTGGCCCGGCAGGCCCCGTGGACCGCGGGTGGAGAGCTGCCCTGCAGGCGTTCCGATGCAAGCCTTTACGGCGCTCCCTTAAGCGGAGGGCTGCCCCCCACTGGGCGTCCAACCTCTTGACAAACATCGAGGCGGTGGCCTGCCGTCGTTCTCGGCCTCCGGGGGCAGGCTCCGGGCCCGGGGAACCGCCAAGGACGACGCAGAGCGCAGAGCCGGCCCCAGAGAAGGGTCGGGCTTCCCGGGGCCCCCCCGTGTTTTGCAGAGATCGAGGCATCGCACGTCCACCCCGCAGGGCCTGCAGCAGATCTCGCGGGCGCCAGCGTGCGCCGACCACGCCTGCATGAGCGTTTCCAAAGTGGCATCGCCTTCGGCTCAACTCGCCCTCGGCGGAAGCCAGCGGAAGTAAGACAGCGGCGGGTCCACCTGCGGAGGCCCGGCGGAAGGCAGCGGAAGTAAGATGGGGGTCTGAGTCTGAGGTGGCCTGGCCATAGTTCTGGCCAGTGGGAGGGAGAGGGGGGGGGGTCTCGGCTCTCGGTTCGGGCTCCGGAACCGTCAAAAACGGATCCGAGGTGAAAAACGGATCCAGGTGGACCTCGAAGAGGGGTCCGGGGACCATCCCCCCCTTCCTGGCCGATTTTCTCGTGGCTCATCCAGCTCAGACCCCAGGGCCGCCTCCAAGTTGTATTCAGGGCTTCGGGTGCTGTGAGCGTGCGCTTGTGCGGGCGCGGCTGGCGCTGTGGGCGTGCGCGTGTGCGGGCGCGCGCGCCCCGCCCTGCCCCTCGCCTTTTCCCGCCCCCGCGCCCTTCCGCCCCGCCCCCTTCCGCCCCGCCCCCCCCCCCCCGCGGCCTCGTCTGTCGTCTGTCGTCCGTCGTCTTCGTCGTCATGTCCTGACGTCTCTCTGCTCTTTGCCACTGGGCTCCTCTTTCGCTGGTAGCCAAAACATGTTCAGAGCTTCTGGGGTCGGCCTCGTTCCGTGGCGGCTGGAGAGGAGCGCGTGGGCGTGAAGCACATCCGTGTCCATGGCCTCGCGTCTGGTGGCCCAGGGCTGCGACCCCGCGGGTGGAGGGCGCTCATGCTGCGGATGCCCCGCACGGAGCGTCTCCCTGCGACCATTCATCCACTGGTTCGCGCCCTGGCATCCTGACCGCGAGGGCGTGGATATTTGGCGACCACGGAGGGTGTGACTACGCCAAGGTGTGGTTTGCGATCGGCGCCGTTGGGGCCGGGTGGGCACGACACTGTCCTCGTCGGGCCCACTGGGGGCGCGGCGGAGAACTCTGTCGAGGTCTCCGCCCGCCCCCCGGGGCGCCCCCCATTGGGTGCCGGTGGCAAACCACGTTCTTTGCAAACCACACCCTTCGATGCCGCCGCGATCTGGGCACGTTCGCCGACTGTGCAGAGCTCCGTGAGGCCGGAGAGCACCGGGCCATGTCTTGCCGCACGGAGGTTTCGTGCTGGGCACGTGTCGCATGCCAGGAGGCCCTGTGCCCGTCTGCCTTGCATCGGCGCGGAATCGGTAGTTCTGGCGGGTCCAACAGCGAGCTTGTCGGGGACCGCCCGACTGTGCAGTCAGGCACCCTGTGGACCTCAGGCCGACGGAGAAAGAGGGGGAGCAGGGTCACCGATCGGGGATGGCCGCAGCGTTTCACAGACGTCGCAGCTCGCGCGCGACAGAGGCGCCAGGAGGAGACCACGGACAACGCAGGCGAGGAAGCGGCGATGAACCGGAGCCCAGGGGACCCCCCTCTTTCAGCGCCCCCTCAACAAGGGCATTTCTGAGCAAGTCTTTTGGAGATTCCACCTCGAGAGAACAACTGGTGGAGAATGTGTCGACCCACGGTTGCACTCTTCTCAGGCGCGCATGCGATGTAGTTTAGCTGAGTGTCCGTTAAGGGGGCCCTGACTCTTCCTTCTCATCCGCCGCCCCTCCTCTCCTCGTCTTGCTCCCCCCCTCTCCGCTCACATACGCTCGCGTCTTTGAACCGAGACTCCCGATACGGTGCCTGTGCCGTGTCCGCATCTCGCACTTTGAACAGGGCATCGTCCTCCCTAATACCGCCCACAACACCCAAGGCATTTGTTTCGCGATGAGCTGGTTCGAGCCCAACCCAGTTGAAATTGGCTCTTCCGTGTGCGTGTAGATGCCAGGTCCGGGGTCAGGATGGGCACAGCATCGTCGATCGCCGCTTTTGTGGCACTGTGGTGACACTGTCAGGCTGGCGCAAATAAGCTTGGCTCCCAAGTGCAGTAGTTCCGGAGAGCGAGAAAAAACGATGAAGGAGAAACGATTGGATGGAGGGGTGAGAGGTGGATTGCATCGTCGAGCTGAATCGTCGTTGTCTGTGTCGTTGGGTCAACTGCCTGCAGTGGTCTGCTGGTGCCTGGGGTGGCGGGCTGACAACCAAATGTGTTTACCGATCTCCTTCTGCGTGTCCGACATCCGTGGTCGACATCCAGGGGACGCAAGCGTGAGCGACATCCAAGTCTTGATCTTTTTTGATTGTTCGATGGTGCGCAGGAGGCCAATCGGAGCATCAATATGGAAAAGGGCAGGATGAAGAAATCTTGCACGCACAGGACGCATTCAAGAAAGGACATGGGACGCAGGATGCCGTCCTGCTGATTACGCAGGATGCGGATTTGCTGATTTCGTGAGTTCCCTGATCGGCCACCGTCGCACGTGGCACCCCTTTCTCTCCCCGTCTTTGATCTCGCCCTGCCCCTGTCCCTGGAACCGAGGGAGGAGGAGGAGGAGGAGGAGGAGGAGGAGGACGAGGAGGAGGAGGAGGAGGAGGACATTTCCCTCGTCCTCCTCCTCCTCCTCTCCCCCCGTTTCTCTCCCTCCGTTTCCTCCCTGGATCTTGGGCACCAACACGCGCCTGGCAACTGTTGATTGCTGACTACTCGACGCTCGGCAACACCACGCCGTCGCCCTGCCACCCTCTCCGGGCCCAGCTGGTGACAGTCAAGACGTTGACATGAGGACCACCGGTGTCTCTGGAGGGGCTTTGGCTTCCAGACCGGTGCGTAGATCCAGGTCGTGGGAAATAGTCGTGGCCGAGGCTCGCGGTGGCCAGAAAAGCTCCTCGCTCCTTATTCCGCGTGCCTCATGGTAGCACGATGACAGCATGGCCCGCCCCCAGTGTTGGGATGCGCCTCAGGCGCATCGATGGTGCATCAGCCAGTCCGACGTCCCAGCAGTGCCTTCCTCGCCCTGCCCAGTGACTCCGGCACCTTCTGCCCCACTGCCCGAGGACGCGCCTCCAGGCCGCCCAGGCGAAGCTGGACTCGTCCAAGCAGTCGCGTACGGAGCTGCAGGCAGCCAGCGGCGACCCGGGAGGATGCGGGGGGAGCCCAGACATGCTCGCGTCGCGAACAAAAACACGACGGAAGGACTTTGGTCGCTGCCCTCGCTGGGCCTCGGGACCCTCAAGCAACGACTGGGTTGAAAAGCTGGCCCTGGGACAGGGTCGGACTTCCGGTGACCGCGTATTGAAACAATGAAGCACAGCACGTTTGGGATGTGAGGCATGGTCCTTGCTGGAATCGCACCGCATCCCCGCCAGCGTCTACCACTAGCAGCTGCACCAGCAGGGGGCGTGCTAAAGAGGCCGCATTGCACCTGTGAGGCGCCACCTCAGGAGAGGCGAGCGGCATGTTCTTCTTCTGCCCTCGGATCGGATATAGCCAGACCCCTAGGTAAGGGGGGGAAGGCTCCGGGAAGAGCCCGGGAGGCAGAGTGCCAGAGAGTCAGACAGAGAGAGGAAGGAGGGAGGGGGAGAGCGAGAGAGAGTCGAGGAAACGCAAACATGGATTCAGGCACGTGGATTACTGACGGGTCCCGTTCCCATTCAAAATCGGCACGACCCGTCGCCAAGGCAGGCGGCGTTGGCTCAATGTTTCAGGGTGATCAGTGGATCTGGCGCCCACGCGCCAGATCCACGGATCTCTAACCAATCTTAGCGCGCGCCCGACAGTGAAAGAGAGAGAGAGGGCTTGCAAAGAGAAGTGCGTTCAGTGAGAGGACCGAGTGGTCTTACACCATCCCTGGGTGCGTGCCTGCGGAAGGCTTCCGCGGTGATGATCATCGCTGTTGCTGCTAGTTCATTGCTTGCTGCTGGTGTGGTCCTCGCCCGCGGCCCACCCGCGACCCACCTGCGACCTGCCCGCGACCCGCTCGCGACCCACCCTCGACCCACCTTGTGTTCACCAAGATTCGGCGCATGCGGAGGGACCTTTCTGTGATGCGCGAAAAAGCGGCGCCCGTTGCGGGCGTCTTCGAAGCGCCGCAGACTGCCGACGACCCCGCCGCCCCATTACTCTTGTCCACAACTTCGGGGGCTATGTAGATGTATGTGTAGATTGTGTTTGAGAGGGAGACAGAGGGATACATATAGATAATGAACAATGATCAAACCATGTATTACGGTTGGAAGGGTGGAATAGAGAGAGAGAGAGAGCGAGAGAGAGAGAAACAGAGACATCAGGACATTGATATCAATCAAGAGAAACAAGGATGAGAGTTGAGATGCCCATGTCCCCTTTATTGATAGAAATCCAGGGTTCGTCTTTGATCGGCCAAAATTAGGCAAACGATAGGGCCGCTGGTAGAAAAATAATTGAACCCTGGTTGATGTGAGGGTGCCTGTTTTTTTGATAGGATGCGATTGTATGCGCGATTGTTTGTGGGCCCAAAAATCTTCTCCTTCGAATCGCTCTTTGCTCTCCATAGCATCATCATGTTGCTCTTCTCCTCCTCCCCCTCCCCGTCTCATTGTTTTCCTCGCAATCGCCTACCCTCTTCCTGACCCCGTATCCCCCTCCGTTCCTCATCCTCTCTCTCTCTCTCTCTCTCTCTCTCTCTCTTCGTCCTCGGTTTCCCCCCATCCACGAACACTTAGCTTTAGCTTTAGCTTTATCTGAGAGAAACAGTCACAACTAGAGAGAGAGAGAGAGAGAGAGAGATACAGAAAGGGAGAGAGGTAGCTCCCTGCCCGGCAGGCCAAGTGTTCGGCCCTGGCTGCGGAACTCCAGCGGCTGCGTGCCCTACAGGAGGCGCAGAAGCGGGCCGACGCAGAGCTCGTCGCGCTGGAGACGGCATCGACTCCAGCTGCTGCTGTGAAAGCAACGAGGCGGGGAGGGGGCGGAAGGTTTGCTTTTGTCGTCGCGGATCTGGCGCTCGCGCAAGCTGGAAGAGCGGGGCGGGAATGCCAGGACGGGAGTTTTGCAACATGGGTGTCACGGCCGAGGGAGGGAGGGCGGCGGCGAAGAGAGGGGGGGCACTGCGGGGGCGGCACGCAGTGCAGGAGGAGCTTGTCGGGGTGCTGGTGCAGCGGCGCAGGCTCCGAAGGGAGGCCCGCGAAGGGGCAGCCGGAACAGCTCAGCACGTACCTGCAAAAGGGCGCAGGTGGGGCGGGTACAGTTTTTTGGTCTGCGGGTGGAGAGCGAGCCTCTTCCGGTTAAGAGCTAGGCGGGCCGCGCAAAGCATTAATTGGGGAGACAGAGCACAGGCGGGCAGGGCCTCAGGCGGCCGGAGGGCGGGCCGGGGTGCAGGCGGTGCTGAGGAGCTTGCACAGGAAAAGGAACGCCTTGGACAGGAGCCGGAGGCGAAGTCCCGGAGGGTGAGCGGTGTGGTGTTGCCGTCGACCGCGCATGTGGGGTGGGTACAGGTCGAGGAAGGAAAATGCATCAACATACCTGCTGGCGGCGCCTCCGGCTCCGCCCCTGGCGCGGCCAGGGAGGGTGGCAGAGCTCGGATCCACGAAAGCCGCACGGACCCCCCCCACCTTGATGATTGCCCGTATGGAACATATCCATATTCCTATGACTTGCATGGCCTTAGCTCGATGTCGACCTTGAGGATTCGCTGAGCTACTGAGGGCCCCTCCCTGAAATTGTCATCGCCTTTGGGCTTGCCAACCGTAGGGATAGAAATAAATCAGAGGCTGGTTAGACAAGTCGATGAGCGAATTGAGTGTGTCCTGTTCTCGAGATGTGCTTGCGCCAGCAGTCAGTGGGCGGGCCTGCGCCCGCCGGGTCTGGCACTGGGTCGTTTTGTCATCGAAGGGCCGTCTGGTACCGGGACTTCTGTCCATCTCCGAGATAGAAATTCAAAGCCGGAGTAGTGGGGGCAACACAGATGGGCGGCCTGGAGCCTGGAGAAGGCGTAATCGTATTTGCAGTGATTGCTGCATGGGTTCAGTAGTTTTGCGATTTGAACGCAAGGGTTGCGCGTGGATGCAATCATGCATTGTTTCGCACGCCATAGCTTCTACTGCTTGTTATATCTCGCCCCCCCAGCAACAGTTCGCGCAAGAGTTTACGCAATAGTTCGCACAATGGAAGTATTGCGCCTCCCACCGCCACCCTGGCGTTACCCCCATCGCTCCAGCTTGAAGAGCGCTAAGCATAAACTTTCGGAGGTCCGCGCAGATGTTTGGGGCTGTCGCTTGACATTCCTGGCGCCGCCCATGGCGCGTTCCGCGCGCCACGGAGGGGGGTCCATGGTGCCAGTGCTTCAGGTTCGCGCCTACCCAAGAAATCCGCGCGGACCTCGAAAGTTCATGTTTCCACAGTTCTCCTACGGTAGCTCTTAGAGACGATCACCAACGATTCGCGTGCCCACACCAATCCATCCAGAAGTGAGGGGGGTTTGTCGTGATAAGGGAAGCCGTGGAGCACCAGTGAAACAAAGGAAAGGATTACCAGTCAAGCCAAAGCGGCGAACATTCCGAACAGGTAGTTGGGTAGATTGGGACCCCTTTCATTCAAACCTCGTAGCTTTGTGGGATGAGCTTGGCATTGGCTAGACTGCTGCTGTTGTTTGGGTTCCAGCTTTGCCAGGCTGATAGGACTAGCATGTCTGGCGTTAGCGTAGATCTAGCAGCCCCTTCGGCTCTCCAACATGGGAAAGTTGGGGCGCTGGTAGCCATGCTGGCTCAAGGCGTAAGTTATAGAGGCATGACCCGGTTCGCAGCACCCGCTCCACAAACGCGCCGTTTTGTCCCGACCTTGAAGCTCGATTGTTTACGAGTGGCGCAGGCAAGTGACTCCGAGGACGAGCCATCGACCAAAATCAATGCCCAAACCACGGCTGGGCACTGCATGCAGGACTGCTTTGGCATGATTAGCGATTGTTCTACGGTTGCATAAGTTATCTGACGATGCTGTCGCTTGCTGCAGCACAGTGCCAGCCACATGCACCGTTCGTCGATAGGCAGGGCATGCCCCTGGCCCAGCCAAGACTGCAGCACTGTCCCACGCCAGTCCAAGAAGTCCGTACGGACCCCATCTTGAGTAGAGCACTGGTCTCCAGTCCCCCTTCCTCACAACTCCTCCCCCCCCCTCCTGCTGCCTCCTGCCTCCTTGCTTCCCTTCCTCGTACCTTTCCTCCTAGTGGGGGGCTGTGATCTGCGCAACGGTCGCCACTTTCGTGGGCTCCTGGGCAAGGGCTCTCTTTAACGTGAGTTAAAGATTTTAGCCATGAGTTAATCTCAACAGCGTAGTGTCAACAGCGTCGTGTCAACAGCGTAGTGCCTGCTGGCACTGCACTCTTGACGCTACGCTGCTGGCGCTGCACTCTTGACACTCCGCTGCTGGCACTGCACTCTTGACACTGCGCTGCTGGCACTGAACTCTTGGCACGCCGCGGAAACACTACGCAAAACTTCGGAATTGCTGAAAATCGCGGAACTCACGTTGCGTTGTTGGTCATCGCGGTGTTCTCCTGTGGCCGTGCGTTGTCGACACTGCGCTGTTGACGCTACGCTGTTGACACTGCGCTGCCGACATTGCGCTGGTGGCACTGCGATGCTGCCTGTCGCGCCCAGAAATGCCCTGACCGAGTTTGGCGAAAATCGCCGAACTCACGCTGCGTTGTTGGGCATCGCGTTGTTCCCCTGTGACCGTGCGTTGTCGGCACTGCGCTGTTGACGCGACGTTGTTGACACGGCGCTGTGGACACTGCGTTGCTGCCCGTCGCGCCCAGAACTGCCCAGAACGAGCCTGGTGAGCACCTGCGCAGGAAGCACCACGCAGGAAACACGGCGCAGGGAACACGACGCAGAAACCACTACGCAGAACACACTACGCAGGAAACACTATGCAGGAAACGCTACGCAGAAAGCACCACGCAGAAAACACACTACACAGGAGACACTACGTAAACGGCACTGCGTCAAAAACACTGCGTAACAAAACCATTGCGCAAACACAAACTGCGTACAACAAACACTGCGCGCGAGAAAACACGACGCAGGAAACACCACGCAGGAAACGCCATGCAGGAAACACTACGCAGGAACCACTATGCAGAACACACTACGCAGGAAACGCTACACAAAAACCATTCGCAGAAACCATTACGCAGGAAGCACTGCGTCGGAAGCACTAAGCAGAAAACACTGCGTAAGAAACACTGCGCAGGAAACAGTGCGTTGGAAACATAACGCAGGAAACACTGCGTAGGAAACACTGCGTAGAACACACCTCGTTGGAAACACTGCGTTGGAAATGCTGCGGAGGAAACACTGCGTGGGAAACACTGCGCACAGGAAACACTGCGTACGACACCCTGCGTGGAAACCACTGCGTAGGAAACACTGCGCGTAGGAAGCACTACGCAGGACACACTACGCAGGCACCCTTACGCAGACGAAGTTCACACTGCGTAGAAACACTGCGGAACACCACGACTTATTTATTCCCCAATCAGAGCTTGCCTCTGTCTGGGGTCCTAGCAGATTCATATAGTTAAGTTAGGTTTGTCGCCGATTTGCGCTACACGCCCGGGTGCCCGGGGGTGCCGGGGCCCAGGGGGTGCCCGGGGTGTGCCCGGGTGCCCGAGTGCCCGCGTGCCCGGGTGCCCGGGCGTGCCCGGAGGTGCCCGGGGGTGCCTTATAGCCTTATAGCCCTAAGCCCTATAGCCCTATAGCCCCATAGCCCTACAACTCTATAGCCCTATAGCTCTATAGCCCTATAGCTCAATAGCCCTATAGCCCTATAGCCCCCTAGTCCTATAGCCCTGATTGGGTTTTTCTCCGGTATCATAAAAACAGGCAACGCAAACCACATTGCGCAAAAAGAAACACTGCGCACGAACACACAACGCACCAAACAAACTGCGTAAGCTGAACACACTGCGAATAAAACGCTCTGCGCCAACACATTGCGCAGGAAACACCACGCAGGAACCACTACGCAGAAATAACTTACTCAGGGCACGCGATGCAGGAAACCACACGTAAACAGCATTGCGTAGCCACAGGCATTGCGTAAATAAGCATTGCGTACATAAGCACGTTTGTTTAACAATATATATATATATAGTTATATACATATGTATATAACGCGTACACAACACCGCGTAAACAACACCACCGCGTACACACAAAAAACAAGACGCTGACCACACCGCGCAGGAAGCACTACGCAGGAAACACTGCGCAGGAAACACTGCGCAGAACACACCGTAAACACATCTCTCCGCAGATCAACAATGCATAAGAAACTTTGCGTACAACAACGCAAAAAAACTGCGTACACAAAAACTGCGCACGACACACAATTATCCTGGCGAAAGACCCAACCATAAGCAATTGTTGGTAACGCGTTGTGGGTGCCGCTTTCGGTGGGGCTCCATATGGGGCCACGAAGCGCTGCCTTGGATGGGGGAACCGCATGCGGACTGCGCCACCGGGGCGGGCCTTCGGTGGAGCTCCCTATGGGGCTACGAAACGCTGCCCTGGGTGGGGGAACCGCATGCGAACTGCGCCACTGGGGCCTTCGGTGGAGCTCCCTATGGTGCCACGAAACGCTGCCCTGGGTGGGGGAAGCGCATGCGAACTGCGCCACGGGGGCTTTCGGTGGAGCTCCCCATGGGGCCACGAAGCGCTGCCCTGGGTGGGGGAACCGCATGCGAGAGCAGCCACTGGGGCCTTCGGTGGAGCTCCCTATGGGGCCACGAAACGCTGCCCTGGGTGGGGGAACCGCATGCGAACACCCCCACTGGGGCCTTCGGTGGAGCTCCCTATGGGGCCACGAAACGCTGCCCTGGGTGGGGGAACCGCATGCGAACACCCCCACTGGGGCCTTCGGTGGAGCTCCCTATGGGGCACGAAACGCTGCCCTGGGTGGGGGAACCGCATGCGAACACCCCCACTGGGGCCTTCGGTGGAGCTCCCTATGGGGCCACGAAACGCTGCCCTGGGTGGGGGAACCGCATGCGAACACCCCCACTGGGGCCTTCGGTGGAGCTCCCTATGGGGCCACGAAACGCTGCCCTGGGTGGGGGAACCGCATGCGAACACCCCCACTGGGGCCTTCGGTGGAGCTCCCTATGGGGCTACGAAACGCTGCCCTGGGTGGGGGAACCGCATGCGAACACCCCCACTGGGGCCTTCGGTGGAGCTCCCTATGGGGCCACGAAACGCTGCCCTGGGTGGGGGAACCGCATGCGAACACCCCCACTGGGGCCTTCGGTGGAGCTCCCTATGGGGCTACGAAACGCTGCCCTGGGTGGGGGAACCGCATGCGAACACCCCCACTGGGGCCTTCGGTGGAGCTCCCTATGGGGCCACGAAACGCTGCCCTGGGTGGGGGAACCGCATGCGAACACCCCCACTGGGGCCTTCGGTGGAGCTCCCTATGGGGCTACGAAACGCTGCCCTGGGTGGGGGAACCGCATGCGAACACCCCCACTGGGGCCTTCGGTGGAGCTCCCTATGGGGCCACGAAACGCTGCCCTGGGTGGGGGAACCGCATGCGAACACCCCCACTGGGGCCTTCGGTGGAGCTCCCTATGGGGCCACGAAACGCTGCCCTGGGTGGGGGAACCGCATGCGAACACCCCCACTGGGGCCTTCGGTGGAGCTCCCTATGGGGCTACGAAACGCGTGAGAGGTGTGCCGAGAGCAGAGGCAAGGAGGGGGAGGAGGAAGGGGGCAGCGGGAGGAGTGGACGCGGGGCGCTGTCTCTTCAAAACGAGGACCCAACACCACAGGATGGTTGGGAAAAAACACTACGCAGGAAACACTACGCAGGAAACACCACGCATGAAACCCTACGCAGGAAACACTGTGCAGGGAGCATCACACAGGAAACACTACGCAGGACATGATTCGAAGGAAGCACTACGCAGAAAAACACTACGCAGGACACACTGCGCAAAAGCCACTACGCAGAAAACGCTACGCAGGAAGCACGACTGTACACAGAAGACACTACGCAGAAAACATTGCGCAGGACACATTGTGTAGGAAACGCTGTGCAGGACAGACTGCATAGGAAACACTATGTTTCCCACGCCCGTGCGGTGTCGTCACTGCGCTAGTGACACTACGCTGCTGACACTACGCTGCTGACACTGCGCTGTTGACACTGCGCTGCTGCCTGTCGCGCCCAGAATTGCCGGGAATGGGTTTGTTGAACATCGCCGAAACCGCGCGTTGTTGGCACTGCGTTATTGACGCTACATTGTTGACACTGCGCTGCTGACACTGCGCTAAAGACACTGCGCTGTTGGCACCCCGCTGTTAACACTACGCTGTTGGCACTACGCTGTTGGCACTACGCTGTTGACACTACGTTGTTGACACTACACTGTTGACACTACGCTGTTGGCACTACTCCGTTGACACTACGCGGTTGACACTACGAAGTTGGCACTACGCAGTTGTCACCACGCGGTTGAAACTACGCGGTTGACAGTACGCTGTTGACATTTCGTTGTTGACTTTAATTCACGGTTACCCGGCACAGTCCCTCTTGGGAGGCACCGCGGGGGTGAGGGCAGCGCAGATCCATTTGAGATTTCGCGGCTCCCTCGGGTGCTGCGTGCTGCGCAACCGTCGTTTTTTTCGTGGGTTCGTGGGAGGCGTGGCGGAAGTGAGGTCAGCGAAGATACATTTGAGCTTGTGCGGCTCCCTTGTGGGCTGCGAGCTGTGCAACCGTCGTCTTGTTTTCGTGGGCTCCTGGGAGGCGTGGCGGAGATGAGGGCAGCGCAGATCCATTTGAGACCTCGCGGCTCCTTCGGGGGTTGCGAGCTGCGCAAGTATCGCCTTCTTGTTCGTGGGATCTTGTGAGACACGGCGGAGGTGAGGGCAGCACAGATCCATTTGAGACCTCGCGGTTCCCTCGGTGGCTGCGAGCTGCGCATCCGTCTCCTTTCTTTTTTCGTGGGCTCCTGGGAGGCACCGCGGAGGTGAGGGCAGCGCAGATCCATGTGAGACTTTGCGGTTCCTTTGGGGGATGCGAGCTGTGCAATTGTCGCCACCTTCGTAAGTTCTTGGGAGGCGTGGCGGAGGTGAGGGCAGCGCAGATCCATTTGAGACCTTGCGAATCCCTCGGGGGCTGCGAGCTGCGCCACCGTCGCCCCTTTTTTCGTGGGCTCCTGGGAGGTGCGGCGGAGGTGAGGGCAGCGCAGATCCATGTGAGACCTCGCGGCTCCCTCGGGGGCTGCGAGCTGCGCAACCGTCCCTTTTGTTATTGGGCTCCCGGGAGGCACGGCGGAGGTAAGGGCAGCACAGATCCATGTGAGACCTCGCGGCTCCCTCGGGGGCTACGAGCTGCGCAACCGTCGTTTTTTTTCGTGAGCTCCCCGAAGGCACGGCGGAGGTGAGAGCAGCGCAGAGCCATTTGAGACCTTGCGGTTCCCTCGGGGGCTGCGAGCTGTGCAGGTCTCTTTGTTCTTGGGCTCCTGGGAGGCGTGGCGGAGGTGAGGGCAGCGCAGATCCATGTGAGACATCGCGGTTTCCTCGAGGGCTGCGAGCTGCGTAACCGTCGCCTTGTTTTCGTGGGCTCCTGGGAGGCGTGGCGAAGGTGAGGGCAGCGCAGATCCATTTGAGACCTCGAGGTTTCCTCGGGGGCTGCGAGTTGTGCATTTCTCCTTTTTTTGTTGCTGGGCTCCTCGGAGGCGAGGCGGATGTGAGGGCAGCGCAGATCCATTTGAGACCTTGCGAATCCCTCGGGGGCTGCGAGTTGCGCAACCGTCGCCTTTTTTCGTGGGCTCATGGGAGGCGTGGCGTAGGTGAGGGCAGCACAGATCCATGTGAGACCTCGCGGCTTCCTCGGGGGCTGCGAGCTGTGCATTTCTCGTTATTGTTTTTGGGCTTCAAGGATGCATGGCGGAGGTGAGGGCAGCGCAGAGCCGTTTGAGACCTCGCGGCTCCGTCGGGGGTTGCGAGCTGTTCAACCGTTGCCTTTTTCGTGGGCTCCTGGGAGGTGCGGCGGAGGTGAGGGCAGCACAGATCCATGTGAGACCTCGCGGCCCCCTCGGGGGCTGCGGCTCCCCGGAGGCGAGGCGGAGGTGAGGGCAGCGCAGAGCCGTTTGAGACCTCGCGGCTCCCTCGGGGGCTGCGAGCTGCGCAACCTGTGAGACGTGGCCGCGCGTGGCTCGACATTGTTTTGCGATGGGTGTCAGAGTGCTGCACATATCGCAGCATGTGTCCCATGGAACGTTCATCTGAATATTCGCCTCGCGTGGAGAAGGCGCGGGGTACGTCTCGGGCAGTTGTTAAGTCTGGCTGTGTTTCTTGCATCCCCACGGGCTTGCGTTGCATCCTGAATCGCTATTGATGTTCCGAGGGTTCTGCAGGCCTTCTGGAATTCAGAGGCCCTGGATGGCGAATAACGCGCCGTCTCGGTCTTGCTCAAGCCGCAGGGTGTTTGGGTCTGGGGGTAAGAAATCGGCCGACCGACCCGTCCAGGGCTGCTCGAGAATGTCCAGGCGGGCCCAGCCGTGACGACTAAAAGCGCCCAGGCCGAAGGCGGGGCAAAAAGCCAGTACAAGCCCCGAGCCTCGAACCTCGACTCGCTGCCGCGGCCCGGATCGGCCGACAGTCGGCATCACCCCAACACACGAGTGCTACCGGCTGTCTGTGCGTCGGCCCCGCAGGGGCGACGCGCACGCTCAGAAATCTCCTGGAAGAGCCCAGCAGCGGGCGCATTCTGGCCATCCTCTGCTCGGGTGGCGATGGATTGCCACACGTGTTGCTGTGCTCTGCATGTGCTCCTCGGACGCACGGCTCGAAGGGGAGCGTCGTGCTAGTCCTTCTGCGCTCTGGACACGGGGGGGAACGGGAACAGGGCGGTATACGACATCTGCTGCATGCAGCTGGTTTCGGCCCCACCGCCCGGCGCGCTCCTCGACGCACGGCCGCTCCCGGCGCCGGCAGGCGCTGGGAAGACCGGCTGCTGGTTGACCTCCCCTGTGCTATCCACCCTGTCGTCCCCAGAAGTCTGGCGCTTCGATTTGTTCGATGCATCGCACCCGGCCCGCACCTTTAGACACCCCAGGACTGGTGCTTCCTCCCGAGCTGTCTTCTGGGTGGGCCCGAAACGGGCCCCAGGAGGCAGAACATTGTGGCACAGCTCCACCCCTGTGGTTCTTGGGAGACCATTGGAGGTCCAGCTTCGCCCAGAGCGAGAAGACACCCATACCGCTACTCCCCGGACCTCTCTGGGGGCGCGTTCTGCCCCCAGGGCTCCCAAGCGAAACCAGCCGTGGCGCCGAGGGCCTCTCAGGAGAGGGCAGCGGTAGTTATCGGTGCCGGGTTCTTCCTCACGCTTTTCCGTCAGGTGCTCGATCAGGGACCCCTGGTTCAACGCAGCCGTACTGCTCCCCCGCCGAAGACCACCAGGAGACCACCAGGAGACCGCCAGAAGGCCGCCAGGAGACCGCCCAGGGCCGATGGGGTAACGAGGGGCGCATGATCGAACGCGCTCGGCATGAAGCGCACGGGTCCCGAGGGACACGGGTCCTGGCCGGGGGGACCTCGCCCAGAGCCAGCTCTTCACCCCGAGTCGTCTGGTTGACGGCCCCGGGGCCCGCGGAGGGCCCCGCAGGGCTCGTCTCCGTCAGGACCCGCTTGCTTCGTGACGGCGCGTATAGTCCTCCCTCGCCCACGGCAGGCCACCCAAGGAGCAGGCCGAGCTCGCCCAGATGCCCGCCCTGCCGTCCCCGGAGGTGGGGCCGCGACGGCACAGCGGCGGCGTCGGTGCTGCGCGGGCGCGCGCTGCGCCGACCCCCCCCCTCCTCCCTTCGCAGGCCTAGAGGTTGACACCAACAAGATCGGCGGTGTGCCTCCAGCGAGGGAAGAAGATCCCGATCTCGGTGATGGTGGTAATACTCTGGCTTCCAAGGTGACCCAAGGTGACCCCATGGAGGCAAACCCCCTCTGTGCTGGTGTTGGTGCCCATTTTCTAGACCTCCAATCCCTTGGCGGGGGGCCGGGGCCCCGTGCTGGGCGGCTCGCGGAAGCCGTCGTGCGTTTCGACCCTCTGTTCCCAGCATCGCATTTTTCCACACCGGGCGTTGTCGCTTGCTTTCGGGCCCTGGGGCCTTCACGGCTGGATCCGTCTCGAAAAATGCAGCGATGGTTCCCCAATCAGTGCTTGCACTGGAGGGGTCCTAGCGGAGATTGAAAGATGAAAGATTTGGCGACGAAAGTTCCGGGCCGATTTCGGTGGGCGGCCAGGTTCCTGGGTTCCCGGTTCTGGGTTCTTGGGTTCCCAGTTGCTGGTTCCGGACCGATTTCGGTGGGCGGTGGGGTTCCCGGTTTTCCATGTTCCCGGGTTCTTGGTCGATCTCCTTATCGATCGGTCTCACCATCGATCTCAGTTGTCACCTCTCAATTAATCTCACAATCGATCCCACTACAGATCGCTCGAACGATCTCACGATCGATCTCACTATCGATGTAACTGAATCCACTTCACGATCGGTCTCACGATCGACCTTATTATCGTCCTTATACGATCGATCCAACTATTGGTGTCATTATCGATCTCAAAATCCATATCACGAACCTTCAAACCATGATTGAGGATTTTCTCGGGTGTAACCTTTATTATGTTCATTACTTTGCATCTTCGTGGGGCCGAGTCTGTCCCCGAAAGTCTTTGTCTTTCCTTGTGTCCGAGTGGACCAGCCGCGGATTTGGCGTGGATTCGACGCGGATTCGACGTGGTTTCGATGCGGATCCGACGAGTCCGACATGGATTCGACACGGATTCGACGCGGATAGGCGCTCGACGGGACAGACACGCTCCCCCGAAGATGCAACATAATCCTAATCATTTGTTCGCGACCTCGGATCTCAAGAAATTAGTCAGGGCCCAGGGGCCCAGGATCGCCAGGGAGCCACCCTCGCTCCTCCGGGGGTGTCCAGAGAGCGGGGTGGGGACCAGGGGGGGCATCGCCGGGGCCACGAAATCTGCCAGATTCATGGCCCTCGTTTTCTTTGTCGGTCCGGCCAATACATCCCAGTGGTCCTCACTCGTCCGCTCTGGACGCCCGAAATGGGTACTGAAAGAATGGGTACTATGCCCAACAGCGGACCTTGTTCGTTTTGAACAAGATCCGCTGTCCACGCCGCCGCGGCTTGTGTCCATTCGAGACAGGAGGCCGCCCGCCCAACAGCGGCCGCTGTTGGTTTGGGACAACATTTGCTGTTGGGCATCGTACCCATTTTTTCGGTACCCATTTCGGGCGTCCAAATCCGCGCACATGCCTCGGGCCAGAATACCCCCCCCCTTCCCTCTCCCTGCCCCCCCCCCTTTGCGGCGCGCCCGACGCCTCGCGGGATGCCGCCGGTGTTTCTTTTGTTGTGGGTCTCTGTTGGCCGCCCGGGCTTTCCCGCCTCGGGATGCCTGCCAGCAGCTGCGCCTCGCCAAGAGCGTTCTTGGGGTGCCTACAGATCGGCCCGAGCGGCTGCCGCCAGAGAAGCCCGCCGAGGCACACGGCCCGAGAGCGATGCGGCCAAGGTCCTGACAAAGTCAAGGCGGGGGCCTCCCGTTGTTTTCGGCCACGGTGGGCCAGGTTCGGGCCCTGCGGCAGTAGAACACAATTCGGGATGGGAAGGGTGCCCACGAAGAAGGGTTTGGGCTCGTCCGGAGAACCTGTGCTGGAAAGATCGAGACGCTGGATGGCTGGGAAGGCCTGGAATAACGGTGCCCTGGAGTTGTGTGTTCGCTGTCTGTGTGGCTCATTCGAGGCCCTCCCTGGGCTTCCGGGCCGTCATGATGCTGGACATCCAATGTCCTGAACGTTTGATTTTTGTCAGCACGGAGGTTCCAGAAGTCCCGACGGAGCCCGAATCGGGCCCCTAGAGGTTGAAAACTCAGAAACAATTGCGTTGATGTTTGACGTTGGATGTCTGGGTCTTTCTGGCTCTTTCGGGGCTCTCCCGATGCCCCCAGGCTGTCAGGAACTACTCATGGTGGACGGCCAGTCCTGTGCAGGCCCCCCCCCTGTCCAGGAGCCCTAGACCTCCCATATGGGATCTGAGCAAAATGGGTCAGAGGATCGCGCCGCATCCCCGATGTATCGCCGACGCATTGGCGATGCACCAGTGACTAGGGGCCCTTTCTTCCAGAATGTGTTTCCCTCGAGCCCACGAAGGTGGCGCGAGAGGTTGGGGCGGCATCGGGAGGGCAGGGGGCGTCTCAGGAGCCCTTCTGCTCTCTACCCAGACATCCGAAGGATTATGTTCTTTTTCGGTGTGGTGGTACTTCCTATCCTTTGGAGTCTGGGGGCCCCCGTCGGGCACCAGGAGCATCGACACCTGGTCCGGGATAAAGACTGCCTGGGGGGAGATGGCCGCGAGGCCTGGGGCCTCGGATCGGAAAAAGTCCCATCGTCGGATGCATGCAGGGGTCTCGCTCCTCTTCTCGGGAATCTTCGTTCCCCTCCTGGGGAGCCCCTTGCCTCCTGAGAAGGGTGCCCCCCCCTGGCCCCGCCCCCTTGTGCGCGCCGCACACATGCGATCGGGAGGGGAGGCGATCGGAGGGGCGGGGGAGGCGCATGGTCGGCAGACAGCGTCGCCAGATCTTTCGCCACGCCGTGCTGTCCAACTAGGCCTGCCAGCGGGCTCCAGACTTCTTGTGCGCACGAGGTCCAGTGGCAGTGGCACCCTCCAGCCCCGACGCGCCCCGAGCTCGTCCTGGCCGTGCTGCGCCGATCGAGGATGAACCCCCCTCCAGCAGACAAGACCAGTCATGTCCCCGTGCCCCCGCTGACGCAGGAGCACGGGGAGAGCAGCGCAGCTCCCTCGCCGCCCTCGCCCTCGCCACCGCCAGAAGAGCGGTGTCGCGCAGCGGCCAGCCGCGCAGGCGGCCTCGCAGGCAGCCTGGCCTGTGGATCTCCCCGAGGTGGCAGCGCAGCGATGCGCCTGGTCGCTGCCATCTCCCGTCGGCGCTGCGCCACTCCCGCGTGGTCCGTTCCACTCCAACTCCGCCCCGCCCCGCCCCGCCCCGCCCTCCGCGCCGCCCTCCCTCCTTCCGTCAAGCGTGCCCCGCCCAGCAGCAGGTCCACACGCCAGAGGATATGGCAGAATAGAATTCCCTCCTTCCAGCCCTCCGCTCAAGCCCTCCCGCCCCCATTTCACCCCGTGCCCCTCGGGCCGGGAGGCGTATTTCAGATCTCGCAGCCCCGCGTGGCTCCACTTGGACGGCAGCTGTCGGGCCCGTTGCCCCACAGCGCACGCCTGCCATGCAATGCCAACTCACCAACTTATTGGCTCGGGCACGGCAGCCATTCCAGCATTTCGTGCGTAATTGCGTTCGCAGACACGCACACGTTTTTTGCGAAGATGGTGCCAATGCCGTGATGAGTAAGAGATTCATGGTAGCCGATCGTGACACCATTGGCGCACACGGGGTACGATAGTGGCGAGCCTGATGAACATGAATATCACCAGCGACTCCAATAATCTTGGCAATTGTGAAGGTGACCGGGTGGCGCTACACGCTATACATGAAACACAGCAAGGGCCACACTGTGCGATTAACAGTTCGGCGTCGTTACTGGTAAAGGAGATGTTTATCCTGGCGAAGTGTGTTTGTTCCGTACGACCTCAGAAGGCAACTGAGGGGGGGAAAGGAGTTGCTGGTGACCGTATTGACGGACAGAAACATGTTATGGATAAGGCGAATTACTCGGAATTGTTCGGGGCGCTCTTGGCGTGACGTTGGGATGCTGCAAATGCAGATTGCAAATAAAGGTGGAACCATGCCGTGCTATGAATGCATACAGATTTGAAGAGCATGCGAGTTGAAGTTGAAAAGGTTCCCAGTGGTTGCCAAACCAGTTGTTTTCCTTTCTCGTCGGTATGGGCGAGGTGCACACTGAGCGACCCAATCGCGTTCACAGACGACATGACATGTACTGCACGGTTCCAGGTTGCTTAGAACATGAGCGGCTGGCATGTAGTTCGGCAGTGGCGAGACGAATTTCACATCCGAGTCAGATTGTGGCGTGCCCACGGGATTGACTAATTGTCGGGGTGTGAAACATACAGCCGAGCAGCTGGTTGAGAAACCTCTTCCCGAACCGCTGGGCCAGCGTTTCTTAACCAATTTGCCGGACAACTGGCCCAGTTCCTTGAGCCTTGTGGCCTTTCCAGCGTTGACAGCAGTAATTTGCCCAGGCGTGGTTTCAGACATTTCCGGGACGTTGGCCCAGATTTCCGATCATTTTCTGAATCCGATGTTCTGTTGTATGGTATGAAAGTCGACCGCATGTGTGGTGAAGTGACGGAGTGGTGCGATACGACATTGCATTCGATATTGATTTGCGTGAATTCGTTTGCGCTTTCTCAGACGGCATCTTTTTGTGGAGCCAGCGCCATCACTGGGAACGGACTGCCGCAGAACACAGGATCCAGACCTCAATGCAGACCAGAGATATACTGTTTGCCTGCTCTCATCGCCTCGCAGGGCCGGGCGCAGCTCGGCCTTGGAAGGGGTCCGAGGGCCGATGCTCAGCGGAGAGGGGCAAGGGCAGGGCGGGATGGGGTGGGAGAGAGTGAAGGGGCGATCGGGGTAGCGGCGCAGAGAGGACAGGGGGGGACAAGCTAGGTGCGTTCGCGTCATATTTGACGTCCTACCCCTCCCTCCAATCCCTTACCATTCCGAAGAGTCCTCTCTATTCTCATCACCTTGTGTCGAAAAAGGCAATGGTCCCAAAAGGGTAAACGCCGCACAGCATTGCATGGCATAGCACGTTGTAGGGAGGATTGACAGAGCGTAGCATTGTATAGCATGGTGTGGCTCTGCGTAGCCAAGCACTGCATATCATAGGATTGCGTAACAAGACATGACATCGCATGGCGGCGTATGACATAGCGTTATTCAACCTGCCATATTATCGCGCTACAAAATAAAACATGTTACGGCATTGCATCGCCACGCATTGCATACTACAGCATTGCAGAGCAAGGTGGCCATCGCATAGCGGACGTGATGCCTTAGATGCAGCGCGAGAGTTTTTGATAAGGACAGAAGCACTGGAATGAGGTCAGCGCCGAAGCGGGAGCATCATGCTTGATAACCGAACCGCGGGATGAAGCCAAGGCTATAGCGGGATCACCGTTGAGAAGGATTGGCAATGTGGACAGGATGTCCATGTTGCAGCGGGAGCCCCTTTTTGAAGGACCGAGAATGCGGAAATTAACCCAACGTTGCAGCGTGAGCACCATTGTGGACGGACCGAAAAAATCGGATTGAAATGACACATGCGGAAGATCACCTTTGGAGAGTCCTGTGTGTTAAGGAGACAAAACGCCGAGGGGGGCGCGACATTCTCAACACGTCGTCGGGGGAGAGAGAGAGAGAGAGAGAGAGAGAGAGAGAGAGAGGAGAGTGATGATCCAATTGTGGAATTGTGGAAGGAGGAGTGAGGCCGAGCGCGAAGGGGAGCAGTGGGCGGGGAAGCGGGCGCGTCTGGAGCGAGCGAGGTGCGTCCCTAGACGTGCGATGTCCTGATTTTGTGCAATACGCGGTTCCCGGAAGTCCCGTCCCTGGCCGTGTGTTGACGGCCCCGGGTCCCAGTCAGAGCCCTCGGAGGCCGAAAAGGGCAATGAGAACAAAGAGAGCAAATCTTTGTTTTGGTTCACGGCGCGAGCATGTCTTGCCATGGAGCGAGGGTGTTGTGCCTGCGCTGGCCGCCACGCTCCGTCACGAGCCAACGCTCTCTGCACGGGTGTGCGCTCGGGCCCCCCCGCTCGACCTGCAGGTGGAGGAGCAGCGCCGCCCTGCAGGCATCGACTCGGACACGGAGAGGGAACGAGGACCCGAGGGCGCTGGCGTGCCAGGCGGGCCGCGGGCAGCTGGAAGCCGTCGGACGATGCGTCCACAGACATGCTCGCGTCGCGAAAAGTTCACGACGGTTGGTTTTTGCCGATTTTCAGCCTCCAGGGGCGTTTGCCAGGCCCCGAGGTTGTCAAAAGACGACCCGGGACGAAAAGCCGGCCCTGGGGATTGGGTCGGGACTGCTGGGGATTGCTGTTTGGAACAACGTCGCATATCTGGGTCCAGCCCCATGCCCACTTCTCAGCCCGCTTTGACGATTCCAGTGATGCGTCCAGCATTCTGCAGGAAGTGGAAGCAGCCTTGCATTGGGCAGCAGCACTTTGCGTTTGCCTGGTGGGCAGCAGCACGGCCCGTGCCGTGCGCAGGTGCGCTGGCTTGACGCGGGCCGCCCAGATGCATCAGTTGGGCAGCAGGCAAGAACGCAGCCTACAGCAGCGACGCCAGCGCAGTGAGCCGCTTTGTTCCTGATACCAGGGTGCTGCCCGCCACGCTTGCGGGTGGTCTTCGGCCCCTCTTTCGGCCTCGAGAGTTCTGCAGCCGTGCCTATCTGAGAGTGCTGCAGAGCCCGACCAACATCTGTCCAGGCATTGCGCGCCGCTAGCCTTCGGCTGTTTCCCAAGGCCACCTGTGGGGGTGCGAAAAAATTATGCCTCGCGTATCGCGGCCTGGGGTAGCAGCTGCCCGTCCCCCAGGGGGGAGGCGCGAGAGAGCGCGAGGGCGCGAAGATAACCGTGCGCCACGCATCGCCGGGCGCGATGTGTGGCAGCGCGCGCAATTAATTATGTGACCTTCCGAGGTCGTAATGGGTCGTGGTGTCAACAGGCTGTGGTGCCAGCGGTCGAACTAGCGATGGAATTCACAATAATTCGACGAACGTGCGTTGCATGCCGATTTTAATAACGTTGGTTTTGAGTCGACCGTTTCAGACAATTTCAACAACTACATTTGTTCCCTACCTAGGCTCTGCCTAGAGGGTTCTTACTCGCTGGGCTTACAGGGGCCGGGCAATGCGCTTCGCCCCGGGCGGTTCCCCCGGTCCCCGCCCCGCGGTTCCCCCAGTTGCACCCCCTTGCCGTAGCTTTGCGTATCTCATTTTAGATTAGTTTAGCTTAGCTTGGCTTAGCTTAGCTTAGTTTCATCTTAGCTTCGCGCAGCTGTAGCTGTAACTTAGCTTAGCTTAGCCTAGCTTCGCATATCATATCATAGCCCAGCATAGCATAGCATAACCCAGCATAACATAGCATAGCGCAACATAGCATAGCATATCATAGCATAGCATAGCATAGCATAGCATAGCGCAGCATAGCACACCATATCATAACATAACGCATCATGGCATATCATACAATACCCTATCATAACATAGCGCAGCCTAGCGCAGCATAGAATCGCGCAGCATAGCGCAGCATGTCATAGCATAGCATAGCATAGCATAACATACCATAGTGTTTCATATCATGGCATAGCATAGCATAGCATAGCAGCAAAGGAAAGGCAAATCAACAACAGCAACAGCAAAGCAAAGCACAAGCAACGCAAAGCAAAGCAAATCAAAAACAAAAACAAAGCAAAGGAAAGGCAAAGCAAAAGCAATGTGCGACAGATGCCGAGCTAGCCTCGACGGCCGGACTGGAACCCCCGCAAGCAGTGCCTCCCGTAGCCGTTTCGATTCAAGCCCGGAGGCCCTGCCACATATCCGCTCACGCTCATGTCCCGCGGTTGGCGGAGGGAGGCTTTCAGAGGTGGTGCACAGCCCGCCTCGGCACCAGGTGGTGCTGCACAGCCCACCCCGCCTGTTGTGGCCATCGATGTGGGCGACGTCGCGTCCAAGCGGAACGACGATCAGCGGGCAGCGTGATGTACACGGCTGTCGAGGAGGGCTTCTGGGCGTTCGTTGTGCTCTTTGCGGCTGAGTTCGGCCTTCAGGACATGCATTTCGTCAGTCGCACGACGCGGGGCACGTGGCAGTCGCGCCGCGCCCGCTTGGGGAGGGTAGAGGCGTCGGTCGCCAGGCTGATCCGGAGCACAGGCTTGCTCGAGATGGGGATGCCTGAGGCGAACGTCCGTTTGACGTCTGAGAAGAGCGGGCGGGATGGCAAGCGCGTTGCTTCTCGGGAATTGCAGCTGACCCACATGATCGACAACGATCTCGCGTGCTTGTGGAGTGTCTTGAACGACCGAGCTGGCAACTCGGGCCTGTCGATCAGGCGGAGCAAGACCGCGTCATCCAGCACATGCGCCTCCGCCCTGCGCGCAGCAGGTGGTGGCGCGATGAAGACGACGACTGGCTGGAGAGGTGCAACTCGTGGTTCGAGGTTGCCGAATGTTCCCAGCTGGGGCCACTGGACATCTGGGATGAGTTGGCGCAGCTCGGGCCGCCGGCGAGGCCCCGCCCCGTGTCGCGCCGAGGCAGGCCTCTGACAGCGGCGGAGGTGATCTATCTGCGTAAAGGCGGCGGTCGCCGCGAGCCTGGCCGCATGCGCGGCCGCGCGCGCCGTCGTCGCGGCGACGACGACGACGATCATGCTGATGACCCTCGCCGAGTTGAGGCCAGGCGCCGCAGGAGCGGCGGCGCTGCGCAGCCCACGTTCCCAGCAGGGCCACGCAGCGCCAGCGGGGATGCCTCGGCGGCGCTGCGCAGCCCACCTCCCCGCAGAGGGAAGCGCCCTTCGCGTGAACAGGATACGAAGCGTATCCTAGTTGTCTACCGAGGCGAAGTTCTACGCTCTGCGTCGTCCAAAGATGTTGGGCCTGGCAAGGACATCATTGGAAGATCTCGAGGGCGTCTTTAACTCCGGCAAAACCACGATAGTGGACGCCCTGACTGAGCCTCGCACCGATATCGCCTTAGTGGCAGATCTCTCCGATGGCAGGATCACCCAGAGAACCTTGGCAGATATGGCGAGCGCTGCGCTGACCGCTCCGGTCGCCTTCTACATCTCGGCCAAGGGTAGTTGTCAGACTCAGACGTTCAAATCGGCCATGGACGTTCTCCAGAAGGCCTGCGACTTGGATCGCTATTCCCACGTGCTCTTCACACGGTTTGGCGCAGAACTTCTGTCCAGCGTCGACGCAGAGTGGATGGGGCCAAACTTGATGGATCCGTTCTATCAGACCCGGCGCAAGGAGATGAATGACATCATCTTCGCGTTGCCTGCTTCTCGGTTTGAAGAATTGCGCGCATCAGTGAGCATCCTATCGCGTTCAAGGGACAAGTTCGACTACAACTCCTGCGTCGCCTCAACCTGCCAGGCACGGAATTCCTGACCAACGAGAGGATCGACGCCAACGTGACCAAGGAGTGGAATTTCTATTACACTTTAAAGGGGCGCAACTCGAAGAAACCCCCGCCAGGTGGTGCTGCACGGTCCACCTTCTCTGCGCTGCTTGCCAGCGCGACCGAGTTGACGCGCCGCGGAGCTCGCCGCGCAGCGCCGCGCAGCCCGCCGCGCAGCGCTGCGCAGCCTGCCGCCTCTTCCAACGTGGCGCTCAGGCCCGCTACGCCCCGCATCAACGCCATCTTCGGCAACGATGCCTCCGCCGAAGCAGCGTTGCAGGAGGTGCTCGAGAAGATCCGCAGAGAGTTCCTGTTCGGCAGAGTGGCCGCGGTTCGGCCGGGCGTTTCTCGGATGGCTCGAGGTTCCGCGGTGGAGGCGGAGGTTCCTAGGCAGAAGCTGGAAGAGTTCTTGCGAATCGTCGAGCAGCAGCGCGCGAATCAACTGCGCCGCGCGCCAGGCCTGGCTTCCGACGCGATCTTCACGAGTTCCCACATGCAAGAGATCCACATGGAGTGGATGAACGACCATGGGTCGCGGACGAACACAGAAACGGTCCAGGAGTACGAGCGATTGCGCAACGGGAGGCCCCAAGGCGATGCGAAGAAAGCCCCCCAGCTCCGACGAAGCGCTCTCTCCGCGCACGCGTTCCAGATCATCGGCAACGAACGCGCGTTGCTCTCCGCCATCCAACGCCCAATCTGCAGTGCTGCGCAGCCTGCAGCCGCAATACGGCGGTTCCTAGACGCGCGCGAGCGCGCGAGTGAACGGGCGCCGGGCCCCAGCCGAGCCCCCGCCGTGCCCGCGCGGGCGCCGGGCCCCCGTTGGGCGAGGTCCAGGTCGAGGACGCCCCGCCGAGCCCCCGTCGAGGGCGCCCCGTCGAGCTCGAAGGCCGAGGCAAAAGCAGAAGCAAGAGCAAAAGCAAAGGCAATGCAAAGCACTAGCTCAAAGCAACGGCAACAGCAGCGGCGAGGGGGCACAACTCCCCACTAACGCCCCACCAGCGACGTTCTTTTCCCTGAACTTCCTCCCGCGGCCTGTTGAGACGCCAGCACCGGCGCTCAAGCCCCGCCAGCACTGCACTCGACTAACATCGCGCCCTCGCCCAGCGCGTAGAGCCCGAGGTCATTGCAAAGCGTCCCACAACCAGCGCTAGAGGCCGAGGTCCCTACAAAACGTCCCACGACTTGCACGTAGTGGCCGAGGTCCCTACCAGGCGTCCAATGACATGCACTAGTGGCCGAGGTCCCTACCAAGCGTCCCACGACGAGCACGTAAAGGCCGAGGTCACTACAAAGCGTCCCACGACCAGCACTAGAGGCCGAGGTCCCTACAAGACGGCCCACGATTTGCACGTAGTGGCCGAGGTCCCTACCAAGCGTCCAACGACATGCACTAATGGCCGGGGCCCCTACCAAGCGTCCCGCGACGAGCACGTAGAGGCCGAGGTCACTACAAAGCGTTCCACGACCAGCGCTAGAGGCCGAGGTCCGTACAAGACGTCCCAGGACTTGCACGTAGCGGCCGAGGTCCCTACCAAGCGTCCAACGACATGCACTAGTGGCCGAGGTCCCTACCATGCGTCCCACGCCGAGCACGTAGAGGCCAAGGTCACTACACAAGTAAATGCAAAATCAAGCATAACAAAGCAAAAGCAAAAGGCTTAGCTTAGCTTAGCTTGGCTTAATTTAGCTACAGCAACAGCAACATCAACAGCAACAGCAATGCACTAGCAACGCAAAGCAAAGCAAAGCAAAAGCAAAAGCAAAGCAAAGGAAAGGCAAAGCAAAATCAATGTGCAACAGTACGATCAGAGAGCCCACCCGGTGAGCGAATGCAGAAACATGCGTGTTTGTGCGAAGGCAAAGCAACAACAAAACAAAGCAACAACGAAAACAAGCAAAAGCAAAGGCAACTACGACGATGAGGAGAAGGAGGAGGACGGCGTTTACCGTTACTACTACTGCTGCTTTCCTAGGGGCTCCAACTCCTAGGTAGGGTCGCGCTGGGGTAATTTAGAATCTTAACGGCGACACAGATGTCCATTCCATGACGCCTCATCGCCAGGCAGCGATCCCATAGTTTCCGGAATTCGTGTTTGTGGGTTCGGATTTTCTGGAACGTCGTTTCGGAAAGTGTGGATTTAGCTCCTATATTGAGAGTCGACGATGCCATCTTTAATTTCCAGCAACTCCAGACTTATATGTTTGGCGAAACTGAGTTTGGGGTATACCGCTTTCCGTTGTTCGGAATTCCCGTTTTGCGCATGATAAGTGATAAGGCGTCCAGGCACAGGTTTTTGTGCCGCCGTTCAGACTGGGCCGCAGTCGTTTGTGGAAGTTGGAGTCAAGATCTCGGACGTTGCTTACGAAGCGGCCGACGCAGACCCAACGAGTCGGGATGCAACGCGCTTGCGGCTGTCGCAGATCACGTGGCCACTCTGAACACGTGGCACCGCACCCAGGAGGCCCAAAAGCGAACCGAGCATTCAGAGCTGGCCGCGCGCACAGGGTGGGTGGCGCCAGGGGGGCGGCCTTCTGCGAGGGCGGGCGGCCTCCTGCGGGGCCGCGGAGGCTGCCAGGGAGGAGGAGGAGGAGGAGGAGGAGGAGGACGAGGAGGAGGAGGAGGACGAGGAGGAGGGGGAGGAGGAGGAGGAGGAGGAGGAGGAGGAGCAGGAGGAGGAGAGGCCTCCCCGGAGGCCCTCTGTGGGAAGCCCCCCCCGCCTCGCCCTGTGGGAAAGGCCCCCCCGCCGTACCCCTCGCACGGCTCTGGGTTCAGAGGCCCCGCCGCCCGCCCCCCCCCCGCGAGGTGCCCCCGACGTCTCGGGTCCGCGGGATCACGCGGTGGCGCCGCCGCCGAAG